TGAATATGACTATAAATAATATTCCCCTTTCCTAATTTAAAGTTCATAGTTTCATACTTGCATTTTTATACATCCCATATTAAGGCGAATATAAAAAGGCACAAACTTAGGTATTTTTGCATATAAGTTTTTGAAATATTTGTTTATGAAAATGTGACCTCTTAAGATTCTTGACTATAGTAGTAACTTTGGTCATATAATTTATGTTCGATTTTAAAATCATTGACAATGACATTATATGAATAATAATTTTAGTCATTTTTGTAAATTAATTTCATTTTGGTATTTTTTTATAAATATTTTATATTTTTGTAATATGCAGTAGTTTTGACAAATCTTTAATTCTCTCTTTATTGTATTAATACAATATATTTTAAATATAAGTTTCTATAATTCAGTAAATTGTAGTCGCTAAATTTATTATTTTATCAATTTTAACAAATTGAACCAATACAATCAATTTCAATATTGCCAAACGGGCTATTCATTTTGATCAAATTGTTCGCCCCATTTTTTTTTGCAAAAGTCCCAATCCCTTCATTCCTCATTATCTCACTGCACACATTAAACCACACATTATACACACAAAATTTTCACAGTGCTCACCTCTACAATAGACCAATGAAAACTGTTTTATTTTCATATTAGCTGACTCGACTCACCTAATCCCATGAGCAAATATTTCATTTTTATTTATTTTAACAAATAAATAAATGATTCATTGAAATTGACGTTTTTGAGCGGGATCCCTATTCACCAAAAATCTTTTGCTTTTATATTAGATAGATAGATAAAGAGAGTATTAAGCATGACATCAAAACAAAGTAAACATCCAACAAACTCACCCGTGTGATGCACACTTTGAGAATTTTTCTTTCAAATTTATGTGTGCTTAGTAGTTCAAATAACACTATCAATTGATGACATCATCTATATTTATGTAATACTGATATAAATCAAAACATTAAACGAAACACACTTATAATATTATGATCAAAATGAGAGTACTAAGCATTACTTAAAAGATCAAAAACATCCAACAAATACGTTGAAACCATAACATTGTAAATATGCATTCAATGTAAACCTAAACATTATTGAACACTTCTTTGAACACAACATTCTAAGTCTGGTTAGTGGTTCCTTCATCTTCATCTACAATTAGAATTTTCAAACCACAACGATTGGTAACCCTTGATACTGCAATAAGTCTAAGTATAAGCATATCAAGTAATATGGTGATTATGCATTTGTACGATTTGCATTTTTTTAAAAGAATTGCCCAGGTAAATTGGCAAATCAGGGGGGTGCAAATATGTGAAAGTATGTTAGGACATTATTAAACAATACTCAAATATGAATTTGTGAGAAAATGTTAGTTAAGTCTATATATGAAAAGTAATGCTATAGTAGTTTCGAAACACATTCAATAGGTATAATCTATAGTAGTTCTTAATTCAAAAAAAGTACAACTCCAGTGCGATGCTCGGTTGGTGAAATTCAAAGGACGAAGTTTTACTCAAATTAGAAAAAAAAAACCATACACAATAATCAAATTTGATGTAAAATGAAATGTATTTAATACGATTTACAGAGTATCAATAATGATTGTGGAGTAGCACACAAATGTGTATAGTCTAACAAAATAGTAACACTCAATACAAATATAATTTGAACACAAATTACATCTTATGCTTGACTTTATGAAAAACTTATTTATACAGAAAATTCTTGATTTCACATTTCATTCTCATGTCATCGTTTGTGTGCAGTGTCATTTTTTACGTTCAATAGTTGCTTACTCTTGACAAAACCATGTCAAGATGACCGTGACTAAAAATAGTTTTTTTCAAAAACGAACCAACGCCCGACAACGAAACATGCATAAAACACGCGTGCGATACACCGTGGGCATGTATTTTCAAAGTTAAATAATTTTCATAAATAAATAAATGTTACTTATTTGGCCATCAATATTTTGTAATAGTTGAGGTGGATACAATATATTCAGAGTCCGTTACGTCACCTGTGTTCTGTATTTATCGGCATTACCAATCATTTTCCCCTAAACACGTAACTTTTGATTTCACATGCTAAATTGTGTAATATTCAAAATAAATAAGGTTGTAGTTATTTTTTTTACAGAACTTTCTGAAGTTATCACATAGGACAATTTTTAATACTCCCTCCGTCCCAGAAAATTCTTCCAAGTTTGACTTGGATCGGAGTTTACGAAAGTGGGAATAAAGTGGAAATGTGTGGTTGTAGTTGTGTAAGAAAAAGGTGAAATGAATGTGAGCCACACAAATAATCAAAAAGGTGAAGTTGGAAGAATTTTCTGGGATGTCCCAAAAAAGAAAGTTGGAAGAATTTTCTGGGACAGAGGGAGTATTTTTCATATAATTTTTTTCTTTATTTTATTAATTCAATGTATTTGAAATATAATTTTTGCATAGTTCAACATATTCTGCCGGTAGAGACAGCCAAAATCAGCCACTTAAGTCCAAAACCTAATAAATTTCAACAGGAGCAGTCAATTCAACTATTTTCAGTGTTACCAAACAGGCTCTTGACGTTTTCAATTCAAAGGCGGTAAACTTTCACTAATAGTTTTTATCAATACAGAGCATATTTTTGTAAAAATGATATGTTTTATACTTTTATAAATCTATTTTTAAAAAAGAATATTTACATGTTATTTTAATATTATAAATTATTTTCTATAAAAATATAATCGATCAAAATTTATAATTCATTCAATAAAAGAATTCAAAACCTTATCCCAAAAATAATACAGAGTATACTCCCTATTAAAAATAGATAGCCGGATTGCCGACCACACTTAAATTATCGATTTTTTAAATAGAGATTGTGTAATTTCATATACAAAGTATTATCTGGATGGTTCATCCGACTGTTGCTTACTGTCCCGATTGTTCTAGGCCACAAATAATTTATGTCCCCACCATATCTCACCCATCTCTCTCAACTCTCCTTTTAGTAGAGCACTCGTACGATGCACGACGGTTGACTGTTGCTTACTGTCCCGATTGTTCTATGCCACAAATAATTCATGTCCCCACCATATCTCGCCCATCTCTCTCAACTCTCCTTTTAGTAGAGCACTCGTACGATGCACGCCAGTTGATGAATTTGTTTTTCAAATTTGTCTGTGCCAAATGATTCTGACTACACAATCATTTGACGACAACATCTATATTTATGTGCACTATAGAACTATTTAAAACACGAAAACAAAAAGGACTGATAAAAATAACAAACGAAACTTACTTACAATACATGCTTAATTATAAAGAAAGTATTGATCATGAATTCAAAGATCAAAGTTAACAGTTTCTATCTAGAACCCAAAAAAACATTGAAATTCCCAGTTTGGGCATTGACCAATAAATGAAACCCAAAGCAATTTTAATGGGCCCTGTCCAGAGCAGCCAAAAATTCTGCGTAAAGCCAATAAACGGGCCATAGGAAGAGCCCAAAAATCTGTCTAAACCTAATAAAAGGGCGTATATATATATAACTAAACGCCGAAAACGACTCCTCCTTCAAACTCTCCCCTTTCTTCGCCGACACAAACCCATTGCACTCCAACGAAAGTCATCGGCGGCTCATCCAAGCAACGGGAAAACGAAGTAGTCCTCACACATCATCGACCTCGATCTTCTCAGCTCGTACCACAGCGTGCAACCACAACCGAACGAACATCGACACAATCCGGCGTCACTCTGCACTATCACTTACATGGCAACGGTAAGATCTCATTCCCTACAATACACGCAATCACGTCGTCGATTAAATGATTTCTAAAGAATAATCAACCTAAAATGTTTTTTTAACTACAACATACCAACTCTACAGATCTGGAAGTTCCATGGCCATGGCTCGATACCCTTTTCATTCTTCCCCCTTGAAATGTAAGTCAGAGATAAGATCTAAATCCGTCTAACTCACGAACCACATCGTCACTTACACGTTTTTCACGAATAAGCAATCACCAACCGATTTATATGAACCACATCCTCTAAACCCTTCAGATTTGTGTTCCTCCAGATTTGTGTTTATGGTTCAGAATTGGTTTTGACATAAGATTATGTTGATAGTTTTTTTTTATATAAAAGAGTCATTGTCACAACAATAGTACGAATACATAATCATCCACATAAAATGCAGATCATGTTTGACTGATTTGTCGACCTGCATTGAAAAACAAATAATTGAATTCATGTCATAATTACTAAACATTTTCGGCATACAAAAATGTAAATTATGATTTTGTCCTCTTAAGTAATGAGTAATTTTATGGATTGTTTTGATTTTGACACTTGCGAAATTGCAAAACAAAATCAAGTATTTGAGGATGCAGTCTTTGGTTTATGGCATGGATTAAATTTTTTAAACCTTCGTTTTATAATTGGTTTTAGATACGGATTTTAATATTTGTTTTTAAATTAAAATAAAACTTAAATTTAGAAAACCCCAATTTTTAAAAACAGTATAAATATTTAACTCTTCTTGATTACAACTTTCTTTTGGAATGCAGGTCTATGGATATATTTTCACCCAGTGACCATTGTTTATGAGTTTTGTACCCCTTTGTAATTTAGAATTAATTTCATGTATCTCAATTGTAAGTTTGAGATGTAATAATTTAATCATTAGGATTAGAATTATATTAGATTAGGATAGAATTAGTACTGGAGCGGAGGCATTGATCCCAGGTATGTCTCTTGAAACCACTTTTTTTTATCCACCTTAAAATTATAACATTACTCTCTATTTTTTGAAACCATTCTCTCATATTCAATGTCTAGCAAAAACTCTATCAATGTCATAAGAACAACATATCAAGGAATAGGGAGACAAAAACAATCATTATAAAATCTATAGAATGAAATCTAATGGTATTTTCAATAATCACGAACTTAATTGGATAACAAATTGATCCTAACTTTAAACTCTCTAAGACAATTATAAGAAGACTTATTTTATTTAGTCATGTAAATAAGTAGGTTTATACTACAAAGCAAAGTATATTCTGTAATGTAGATTGAGCCACAAACTGTTTTTGGAGAGAACTGAAATGTTGTCTTCTAACCATTAGAGCTCCATACAACCCATCACACATAGATACTATTGAACACTACATACCTAAAACACATAGATTTAACCCCGACAACTCTATCACCATATAGTCTTTCTTGATCTTAACACCCTTCATCTTCTTCAATTGCATTGTTGAAAAAAATTCTTCAAAAATATCTCTCTTCACTCTGTCCCCATCAACTTCTAGGGCAATTTTTTTTATCAGCAATGGGCAGGTTGAATTAACTTGTAGGGAAGACCCAACCTAATACATTAATTATATGTTAGTTCATAGACCTACGAACAGTTAGTATTCAAGTTAAAATTAAAATAAACAAAATAAGAACGTGTCAACCTTTTCATTGCAAGAAATCTCTCTGATCTTCAGTAAGCTCATCTTCCTCCTTTATAAACATTTACAAAAAGGTTAAAAAAAGATCTCATTTAAATAACATTAACCATATTGCAGGAAATTTATTTCTTCTTTTGCTTTTACAGTTTAAAGGGGGGAATGGATGTGAGAAGTGCAATGTTGGAGTATTGCTCTTATAGCTGATCGTTGGCATGTTGTTTGCTGGAAATAAGATACACACAATCTTTTCTACTGTGCTCACCACCCAATTCCACCAATAGAAACAAAGTATTCAAAACAGTGACTCAACATCAGTCACCCACTTTATGTCAACAGTGAGCACCTCCATTTTGGACCAATAGGAATGCACGAAACGTATTACAGCTATACACACCTCCATTTGGACCAATAAGAATCACTATGCCACAAAACCGCATGTTCAGATCAATTTTTTCTCATTAGATTGTATTTCTTTTTGATTTATTTTGACAGATAAACAAATAAAGTATTGATGTTGACATTTCTAAGCGGGAACACTATTCACAAAAAAACTGCTCCTTTAGATATTAATAGATGTTTAGGCCCGGAACCGGCCCGGTTATCCACCGGGTCCGGGCCGGTTTTCCACCGGTTCCGGGCCGGCCCGGTTCAATTTTTTTTTTTGCTTTTCTAATTAACCCCCAACCCCACACCTCACCCCCCACCCCCCCAAAACACCCAGCCCAACCCGGCCCAAGCCCGCCCTATGTAACCCCCGGACCAGGCCTACCCAAACCGATCTCTGGCCATGCTGCCGGGCCGGTTCCAAATAGTGCCGGGCCGGGCCTCGATCCAGTCAGCCCGGAACCGGTCCATGACTATCTGTTCCTTTTTACTTGCAATATTTCATTTTCACGCTACCCTACACAAACTTTGACCGTCATAATATTTGATTAAACAAATCTAACAATATTTTTCAAATAATAATAATTTTCATACATTAACAAATAAAATAAAATGTAATCAAAGTAGAGCTTGTGTATAGTATAAAGTTTTCCATGTTGCAACCAAAAAATGGAGAATAGTACATCCTTAAAAATTACTTCTCAAAATATAATCAATTAACTTTATTTAATTATTTTATAAATAACTGTGTCATTGATTCAATCAAGGGTCAAGTAGCCAATAGAGTCAAGAATTCTAAATTACTTGGCAATTACTCGATCATGTATTAATTAAATTTCAATATATTCATGCCCGGAACTATAGTATTATTTTAGTCTTATAATTTGAAGATATGAATAAAATAATAATCTAATACTCCGTAATGAAGTAGAAAAAGTAGTAACATTCTAAGTTTCTAAGAAAATCAATCATCAAAATTAGTCCCAAAAAATACCCACTCATCATTTATAAGTTCCATAATATGACACTAATTAAAAATCAGATTTAGTCCCAAAAAAATTATGAATGGCCGAGTTACTCGCCGAGTCGAATATCTTACCAAGTTAAGAAACTCGCCGAGTACAAGCCAAGGCAGACCGACTTAGATAACTTAACAAAACACCCCATCCCTGAGTTTGCGAGTACTCGCGGAGACAGCCGAGTACTTCCCAAACACTGCTCACACAAGGCTTCACTAATACATGAAAACAATGTTTGGTCTAGGACCTCTTCTAATCTCTGACCTGAAACCAGCCTCAAGATGTTTTCTCAAATCATATCTATTTTACAATTGTGCAAGTGTAATGGTCCAATCTAGTTTAGTAATAAAACATGTGTATGTGAAAACATCCTACCATAACCAACTTAAACAAAAACTTAAAGGGGAGCAGTTCAAGTGAAACCATGATAAAAGATCACCTAAAATTTCATCCCCACCAAACCTGGTTTTCGACCAAATACTTTGTATGCTTGGTTTGGTGAGTATCTATTGAATTAGTTACGATATGGAAGATTATGATCTTAATCATGTAAACAAAATGATGCGTTCTTAAGTTTATCAATTAATATGTGTATGTGAAAACATCCTACCATAACCAACTTAAACAAAAACTTAAAGGGGAGCAGTTCAAGTGAAACCATGATAAAAGATCACCTAAAATTTCATCCCCACCAACCCTGGTTTTCGACCAAATACTTTGTATGCTTGGTTTGGTGAGTATCTATTGAATTAGTTACGAAATGGAAGATTATGATCTTAATCATGTAAACAAAATGATGCCTTCTTAAGTTTATCAATTAATATATGATTTTCAAGAATCATATGAAAGAACCATGTGATGTGACATGGGATTATTGACATCAAAGTTTCACAAAACATTTCATAAGTGGTAGCACTATGTGTCCAAGAAATGTCATTATCCATCAGAGAAATAGAAGATAAGATTTGCCCAAAAAGAAGAAAAGAACGTATCCAGGCCCTAAATAAGCTAAAGGCAGTTTTGACAAAGGCAGGTAATGAAATATGTACAACAAGGACACCAACTACCATGAACATATCAAGCGTCAAGACATTACCAATAATACAAAATTTACCTGATTGTCACAAATTTGTTAGTACCATGCTTAGCCCAGTGAGACCTAAGATCAATAGGGTCAGTAAAATTATAGCCTTCTGAAGCAAGTTTCTCTAAGACCTTCTTGAAGGCACCTTGACTCATCTTCCGTCCAGCAATCCTGGCTCCGCGCCTTTTGTCACTCATGGGCAACGGATACATTGATATAGTCGTGGTACAGCACGCCGACTGCCAGCCGCCACATCCCCAACGGTAGCATTGCTGCAGGGTTCCAGTACAAGAACAAACTGGTGTAGGGATTTTACTTATGTCCATATCAATCCCTCCTATCACAACATCAACACTCTTCTTTGCGGGTTTTTCCTGTTGACACAAGGTTTTGTCATTCTTTGCTTTCTTTGACTTTTTCGATTTAAGTCCCGATGATGCAACAACTGCCCTCTTTTTGGAACGAGGGCTTTCTTCATTAACACTTGAATGAAGATGATCCTCAACCATAACGGGTTCTTCCTTGACTGAAGCAGTTTGTAGCAATTCAACTGAAGTCTGAGTTGTTCCAGAAGGGTCATTATATGGGTGACCGGTAAACATATGCAAGAATTTGTCTCTGTGGTTGATCCAACCCTCTCTAATGTAATCTATGTGTGTTATAGGAATCTGAGACACAATGGAGTCCAGGGGATGATAAAGCCCATTACTAACTATCATACTGGAATTACTATTGCGGCCAGGAAGGAAAGGTTTCGTGTCTACATCAAATGGAGATGACAAGAGCTGGAGACCAAGATGCCCCTTATGTGAAGGTTCATAGTAACCCCAATTCCTCAAGTTTAACCCATCATCATCCATCTAGAGCTACATCAGATCAAGCAAATCAGATCCCTATAATTTAACCAAACGACCAAGCATTATATTGCACAAAAAAAAAATTAAAAAAACGAACTTGACAAAAACTATTCTTGAATTCAGACCCTAGATTACTTTTTATCAATATATTTAATCTTTACCAGGCCAACCTCAAGCTCTTTTGGGAATAAGACTTGGAGGTTGGTGTTGTACTTAACTTCTACCCGAAATCAGCAATTAAAATAAAGACAAGACTTTTGATCAAATCCGACAGGGATTAAGAACCACGCAGATCATCAACAAGAACGATCCAAAAAAAAAATTGTCTTGAATGGATAATTAATAAATTAAATACTGGAACAATATTTAACAAAATTCGAAAGAACCATATACTTGGTACCAGTTATGATAAGGAAGAAAGGTCGGGGGAAATGGATGTTTGGGAAGCATAGAGACAGAGAAAACGTCCTAAAACAGAAGAGACCTTACTTGGGGGGAACAGATCTCTTTAGGTTTCTTTTGTCGTCCGCGGAAGAGAGAGGAGAGAGAAGCCGTAGGAGGCTAGGATAGAGATCGACCCATTTCAATCCTATCTGCTCAACAATGTCACACTCATCACTAACAATTGGGATACACGCGTATAGGATGCTTGCACGAACGTAGGACCAGATTTGAAAAGAGAAAAAAAAAAAATTAACCTTTTTCTCAAAATAGGATTATGTTTTTTCCTAAATATAAGACTTATCCTACCCATTTTACCCCTAATTCTATTTAATTAATTAATCTAAATAATTGTCTCCTTAGTTTCCTTACACAACCAAGGCAGTACGTCGGTGGCGGGACAGTCCGTGGTGGAGGTAGCACTCCGGCAGTGGTCGGCGGCAGATTCCGGCGGCGGCAACTCCGGCAATTAATTAACCCAATTAATTGCCCCCCTAGTTCTCTTGTACAACCAAGGTAGTCCGTTGGTAGTGGGGCAATCCAGTGGTGGCGGCATTTCGGCGGCAGCGTCGGCGAACTCCGGCGGCAGTGGGCGGAGGCTCCGGTGGCATAATTCTGGCAGGCTGCCGGAAAAAATTCTGGAATTTTCCGGCGGCCGGAGGTCCGGCGGCAAGCGGCGGTCCGGCAGTCCCTGGGCAGCAGTGGTAAAGGCTGTGAGGGGTAATTTGGTCCAATCACTAATAAAAAAATCCTATTTAAGGATGTTTAAACTAGGTGCTCCTATTTTGGGGGAAAAAAGCCAAGTTTTGGTCCTATTAAAGTAAATCTCTCATTTGAAAACCCCAAAACCGAAAATCAAATTAAGAGGCCATTTGACAACACTGTTTTTCAACTTATCAGCAACTTTTTCACCAAACACGTAACTTTACCTTTCACGCGCTGAATTTTGTAATAAACATAAAAAGTAAAGTTGAAGTTACTTTTCTGACTGTATTGGCTGAAGTTACTGTAGATGATAATATTACCTAGTTTTACATATAATTTTTTCTTTATTTCATTACTAAAATATATTGTGATATTTTTTCCTTAAATCAGCATAATCAACCAATGCAGCCATAACTTCATAAATTTCAGCAGAATCAACCAAATCAGCCGATTTTCGTGCTACCAAACATGCTCTAAATCAAACTGAATCATAAATAAATAAAACTGAATCGCTAATAAACCGAAACTAAATGTAAAAAAAACTGAATTGAACAACAATTGTTTAATTTGGTTTTGAACTTTACCCTTTAAAACCGAGCCGAATAAATTGAACTATAAAAACATGTTAATTGTTAAGTATTATTCCTAATATCATCAATAGTCTTTGATTTTCTTGTATAAGATAATTAATTTTCGTGTTATGTTTAATTTAGTTTAGTTTATAAATGCATTTACTCATGCATGACATGTAATAATGTAATTAGATTGATATATTATGTCTTTTATGTATCTCTTGTAATTTATTGCATGATGATGATATATGTTCTTATGGGTTATAACTAATAATTAACTTTAATTTAACTTTATTTAAAAAAAATTATATTGAAAGAAGAAATAAATATTTGTTTTTTATTTTTTACTCCAGGGGGCTCTGGGGAGGGGGCTGGAGGGGGGGGGGGCATGGAGTAATTAGGACTGAAACTTACTCGATTGAGTTTTGAACTCTTATGTGCGTAGTGGTTTCGAACTCGAGACCTCCCACTAGGCACAGTAACCTCACAACCAGCAGGGCTGGAATGCTTGGTTAACAAATAAATATTCATCTCAACTATATCATGTATGATGTATATAATCTTTAACTTTTTTCAACTAGTCACAAACAATGTAAATTAAGAATATATTCACTTTTATCTCTCTTGCATAGTTATATAATTTAAAACATATTTATTTCGTTGCATTTTTTATTTTATTTATTATAGAATGTTTACATTTTATTGTAACATGTTTGATCCCTTAACCTATTATATCATTTTAAATCAAATGATAACTTTTTAGTAAAAAAAAAAATCAATGATAGAGTATATGGGGCCAAACCCTATGATCAACATACTCAAAAGGCTAATACAAAGACAATTAGCGCTTGGATGGTCCCATCGTCTAGACACAGCGATCCACACAAAGCAACCCAGAGTGCAAGGAACAGAAGACCGGCGTCTCCCGTACTTTGATACCCATCTGTCAGGCCCTCCATCGGTCAGGTCCTCCCTCTGTTTCACCGATAACTTGTATTTTTACTTAAGCTTCATGAATACATATAATCAGTCCTTTAGAGACTTTATCTTGTACCGGGCCTCCCTATCATAATATAATTGTTACTAGTATTAGCTATGTTGCATAGATACATAAAAATTAGGCGGAAACGGGAAACGAGAAACGTCATATTTTAGTAAATATACAACTATTTGGAGAGTTTTTGAAGAATTATCATAGAGTTTCCGAAACGGAAACATACTCGTTCATCAGAGTTTCTGTGCTATATAGAGTATTAGTTGAGTCAAGTTTCAAATTCACTGGTCGAGCGATTGTTATACTTTGAAGTTTGAACTTTGATTGAGACATAGTTATACACACCTAAACTTTTGATTTGACATATAATGGTTAAAGATGTTTTTACTTGGACTGTAATCTGTCCCAGAGCAGATCAGAGCAGACCAGATCAGACCAGACTTGGGTACTTACAAAAATACAAAGAAACCAGACCAGACCAGACCATACTAGATCAAACCAGACCAGACCAGCAAATTACAGTCCAAGTCAGTAAAGTTGTGAGTCTCCTTTTAAAAAATAAGATAATAATTAATATTTATCTTATTTTATAAAATCCGATGATTACAGTGTGATTCACATGTTTCGTTTTTAAATTCCTATATCGATTCAATAAAAAAAATAGGATTTGAACAACCTTTCAGATCGAAGTGACGAGATTGCCTTCATTGGTGTCACCGTTGCTATGAAACATGTATTATGGTCGTTGAAAAACGTTTTCGATTACTTTTTCTGATGAAAATTCTGAAGAAAATTGATTTTTTTCTGTTAATCACTATTAGTCTTATTTTTGTCTTTAAAAATTGTAAAAGTACTACGGAGTATTATTTTGTAATTTTCCTAGAATTTAAAGGTTTTAACTTCATTTTTTTAAAACAAAATTCTATTAAAGTGAAAGGGAAAGTACATGAGGAAAGAGAAGTGGGTATAAGATGAGTACAAAGTGGTGTGTACAACAAGCATGGTTGGAGAAAGAAAAGTAGCTAAAAGTGAGAAAAAACAACAAAAATGATGTTTGTATCCACTCTTATACCTACTTTTGTACCCATCTATATTTGTGAAGTGTTTTATTTTTGTCTATGAATTCCGGTGAATCGGGTTCACAGACAAAAAAAACCACTTCACAAACATGGTGAGTATAAGGTGGGTATAAGAATGGGTACATCAAGAATTGTTGAAAAAACAAAACAAACATGCAAAATCAAACTCAACCCACAGTATAACAAGAACCATCCCTAGGATCCGTCCCTAAGAGCTTAATCAAGTTTTCCAAATTTCACTCGTGCTTGAGATCTAGTCCGCATGTGATGTGAACGTTGATGCTTTTTCGTGTAAAGTTTGATTTGAGTGTTCAAATTATGTGTAGGTAAGCAGTTTTCCATTGTGACTAGTAGAGTTTTGTAGCAAATATCCTGATTTATGTCAGAATCCCATAGATCCTCCTCTAAAGATATAGGTTTTAACTTGATTCCTATTACTAAATTTAAAGTAAACATGGTTATAATAACATCATTATTTATCATTTACTTAACGCGATTATATTCACTCACCCAACAATGTACTTTAATTGTACTTTTTCTTTGGCCTTTTGGCCTAGATATTACTAAAATAAGATAAAATAAAAAAAAGGATCGGCTTTAATAATTCCAAAAAAGTGACCAACATCACAACTAACCCTACAATGTAAAGTGACTCCTGCCAAAGTGACTCCGGCTAAAGTGACTGTGACGCCATAGTGACTGTCTCACCGGCCACAGTGACTGCCCCACCGGACCACAGTGACTGCCCGCCCATTGCCACAGTGACACGCCGCTCTCCGGCCACAATGACTGCCATCTTCGGTGTCCCCAGCCCCATCCTCCCCTGCTCCTCACATCCCCATGAGCCTCGTCCCCGGCCTACCCCGCGTTAGTGCCGCTGCTGACCATCACTGCGGACCGTCGTCGCCCACCACCGCCGCAGATCCAGTCACCTCCCCAGCCCCTCCCTTCCCTAGCCACCTCACTAACCCCCTCTGATCCACCTGCCACCTCCACAGCCCCCAGCCCGACCGCTAGCTCCCCCACCCCAGATCAATTTAGCCCAAATTGCACCCAAACAGTCATATCTAACCCTGACCTGCCCCTTTACAAACGTTGCACCATATCTACACTCCGTCCTGAGCTTCCACGCATCTGAACCGGCGGCGGCGGAGCAACGAGACGAAATTGCAGCATCCTCGAAGCCCCAACCGTCGCAGATCTGGATGGTAGCTTCGAATTGATGATGAAGAAAGACGATGCAACGAGGTGGAGGCACAGGCGGCGACGCAAGGCGCAGGCGACGGTGGTCATCGCATCTGGGAGGCTCTTGCAGTCAACATGACTAAGAGGCTCCGACGAATGACACCTTGGCTCCAGCGATGCAAAGATAGCGGGGAAATAGGCTTGGTGGCAGCTGTTTGGATGAAAGGTAGAAGCGGTAGATGGTTGAGGGAGGCGGCGACGTTGTAGATTTGACGGAAGGTGGTCGGAAAGTTGCGATGAAATGCGAAGGAGCGGTGAAGACCAAAAGAGGATGAAGAAGGGATTGAAACTCAATCCCAGGTCTGGTACGTGCGAGTGTGTGACGTGAACGGATGATCTAAAAAACTGTAAGTAATAAATGGGCCATTTTTTCGTTTTCTTTTCTACATTTGGCATTCAAACTACTTCATTATTCATTTGGAAATCGTCCAAACTACTTCATCTGATTTTGTTTCTAAAAACGGTGTTGAAACCTTTAGATAGGAATCATAGGATTGGAGAAGTATATCATAACTCGCACGAGTAGTTTAGTTGGTTGAGTGGAGGAAAATTTGGATCAAGGGATTAAGGTTCGAATCCCGCAGCGATCAGGTGG